TTTTTTTTTTTTTTTTTTTTTTTTTCCAACACAACAGTGGTGCGATGGCCTTTCCTACATGCCACACGGATGCAGCCTTCTGATAGGAGGTCTGTGTCGGCACATCCACACACGCACCGGCACACGCTCTTGCACACGCACTCTCCCCCTCACACAGGTGACCAGGGCTTCATTTTGTGCCCCTTTTCCCCTTTCCCCACCTCTACCTCCGTCCACCAATGGCTCCCTTCCCTCATCTTCATATGGGAATGCAGTAACGCTAGGGCTTCGTCTTCTCCCCACCACCGCTCTCCTCTTTGCTCTCGCCATGATTCTTTCCCGAAAGCTGTGGTGTGTCGCAGTTCATAGGATTAGCATGTTGGAGAGTCTTTGGGGGAGGGGACCTCATGAGGAGGGGATTGGAATGGGGGAAGATGACATTAATGATTTTTTTTTTGGGCCAAATAAGCACCCGGTGATAATGATCCAATTTAACCATCCATGAAATCTATGTTTGCGGCACATTGGAGGAAGGTAACAGGGGAGAGCAGAGTCTGGACGGGGTTACCCCTGGGGAGGTCTGATGCCTGGAGAGTAGGTACACCCCTCCCCCATGCTCATGCCACGCACTCCCACACACGCCAACACACACAGCCCTGATCAGCGGGCTGTGTCAAGCCAGAGGGCACTGCAGAATATCCCTGAGACGTGTGGTCTGTTGGGAGGATGGAGCGATGTCTTTGTCCTACCCAGCTGTCTGTTCTGAAGATGATGCTAAGTTTTGAAATTCTTGGTGGCTGTTTCGTTGCCTTTTGGGTGGGGGCCGGAGGGTGTTTCTCTTTTGTCCAAGAGTGGTGTGCCTCCATTCGGGTGACATGGGATTGTTGACCCTATGCCAGTGGCCGGGCAGGAGGCTGCCTGCCCTTTTTTGCTCTGTGGCTGTGTGATGGATACACACGTATGGGTGGATCAGAGAGGTGTGATGGTGACCGGGAAGGAAGGTGGAAAGCAGGGGCGTTTGGTGGGGGAGAGAGGGGAATAGCGTCTTCAGGGAGTTGGGAAGAGTGTAGAGGGGAGCTGCTGCTGTTTCCAGCAGGAAGCCTTAAGTGAGATCCCCACATTCACCAAGCAGCCCGTGGGTGGGTGAGCGCGTGGGTGATGGGTGGGCAGGAGCAGGCTGAAGGGGGAGAGGGACGAGGTGGGCGAGATTGAGGGTTTTCCCTGCCACCTCCCCAGAGCCTGGGGCTGAGCTCTGGAGAGTGGCACTGTACTCCCAGTGGCGTCAGCCACCTCTTGGGTGGTGTGGCCTTGCAGGAGACTGCAGCCCGGAGGAGCTGAGTTCACCCTTGGCACCAGAGAAACCCAAGCCCCTGTGTTCTCCTGGGCTCTGGCGGCCTTCACTACTTGACGCCATCTTTCCTCCTCCTTCAGATAGAGGTGTGTCCTTCTTTATTAGCAATTATATGTGAAATTGAAAAACATTTCACCTAAAGGGAAAAAAAAGCCTCAGAGCAAAATGCTGATTGTCCCACCTCTCCGGAGTTCCTCTCCCTTCCTGGGGCTGACCTTGATGAGTTAGGGAGAAAGGGTTACATCATTGCCATAGACAAGGGAGAAATGCGGGAGGTGGACGCCTCAGGGGTGAGCTATTGTGAACAACCCAGAGAAGAACTTGCTGTTGGGATCCCCCAGCTACGTTCCCCTTACAAGATCCTTTGAATGTGGGCAGGAGACTTCCAAAAGGGGAAGCGTTGCTTCCACAGCGTGCCACCTAGACATGTGCCGGCTAGGTGCGTCCACTCCTGCTGTGGTCAGACCCTGTGTCCCCTGATGCACCTGCTGGGGAAGAAGCGTCGCACAGCAGCTCTGACCCTTGTGGTGC